GAGAGAGAGAGAGAGAGAGAGAGAGAGAGAGAGAGAGAGAGAGAGGCAGGAGAGGAAAGGTCTAATAAAAAGCAGAATTTTAGCCCATCAGACAAAGAAGCTCTCTGCTCTCATGGATATCCCGAACCTTGGCCTTTTTACCCCAGGGAAGCAGGCTTAGTTAATAAGTAAGCAGTTTTATGGGCTTATTTGACTTAGACTGCTTGCTAAGAATCCCAGAGGTGCTAGAGACAAGAATGGAACTGGTATAACTGGTGACCACAGTCAAGCTGCGTTGGATTCCAGATGGCAGGCTTTGGGGTTTGTTTTCATGCCTTGCTTAAAACCTTATCTACCAAGGACCTAAGGGGCTGGGGTCTCTAACCATAAGCAAGACTCAGAAGGACAAATATGACATGTTTTCTCTCGGATGTGGAACATAGATTATACACACACATATGCTTATGTGCACATGCACATACTTTGTGACCCAGGTTCTCTCACTGAACCTGGAGCTCACTTATTCAGCAAGGGTAGCCAGCAAGTCTCAAGGATCCACCTGTGTTTGCCAGGGGTTACAGGTGCACCCTGCCATGCCCAACAATTTTCATGGGTGCTGGGGACTCAGACTCTGGTCCTCCACTTGCCCAAGGACTTTACTGACTGAGCTCCCTCCCCATCCTTATGGTAGTTTTCTCATACTGTGTGGCTGGATAATCCCTGATGGTCTCTGTATATGATAACTCTGCAAGATCACTGTAGACAGAGTGGTTGGTCGAAGTTAGTTTTCTCCTATTCATTGTTTAGACGAATTTCTTTCAATTTCACAAATTGCTTTGGGTAATGTCTTAAGAAAAGTGTAAGCGTTGGAAAGCCTGCATCAAGTTTCTTTCATATGTGATTTGGAGCACAGGAAATTCAGAACATTTGCCCTTCTTGCATTGTAAACTCATCTTAAATATCTTTGAATTGAAAATTGTATGAGACTGGAGATATGGCTCAGTGGTTAAGAGCACCAGCTGTTCTTCCAGTGGACTAGGGTTCAATTCCCAGCACCCATAAGGCGGCTTAGAACCTTTCAGGGGATCTGACACCCTCATCTGGCCTCCACAGGCACCAGGCACATGAAGAAAAGTATCCATACACATAAAATAAAATTAAAACAAAGAAAATTAGAAGGGGGCTCTGTAAGGGAGGTCCCTGAAACACAAGCATCCCAGAAAATCAGCCTCCGTCTCCTTCACTCAACATCTTATGTGGAGGTCTTTCTGTTTAACGGTCACGTAGATCCATAGTTCCCCTTTGTATGTTAAAAATGATGACTTTGTACACCTTATCCAGCTAACGCTACTCACTGGCTTCTCCTACCTTTTCGCAAAGTGCACAGTGACCTGTGGCCGAGGGTTGCGCTACCGAGTGGTTCTGTGTATCAACCATCGTGGGCAGCATGTCGGGGGCTGCAACCCACAGATGAAACTGCACATCAAAGAGGAGTGTGTCATCCCCATCCCATGCTATAAGCCTAAAGGTAAGCATGAAGTGTGTTGTAACCGAAATTAAATAGGGTTTTCCAGCTCTCGTTCCCTACTGGGAAATTTCCATTCCCATTTATTTTCTTATGAGGATGGTTTTGTTGACAGTTTGCAAGGGATCTGGCTAAGGAAGTTGGACATATGTGATTTATGATCTGGAGGGAAAACTGGATTGCTGTTAATGTAGTTCACACAGGGTGGTTCTCATCTGTCTAGGTTTGGGCTCACATTTCATGGTGGACATAAAATATTTCCTTGTGCAGTTCCCACCATCAAGAGAAAGAAAGATGAGGAGGAGAAGAAAAAGGAGAGGGTGAAGAAGAAAAGAAGATCAATAAAGGAGGGAGGAGGAGCCCACTGCTCTTATGCCCAGAATAGCTCTTTTTGTCCTTCTTTGCTCTCGAAATGTGTGGGTGCCTCTTTACCGCAGTGCCCCTTGATAGAGGCATGATGACATCATCATGTGTCACAGTGCAAGGAGTGAATGAAGACTTGGTTGCCACTCTGTGAGTGACTTTAGGATTTCTCATTTGATCCATGTGGATAAGCAGACATTTATGACTAGCAAGTCTTGATCACCTCTCAGATATTTGTTCCCCACCCCATGATTATTTCCCTGTGCCTATCCTTATGACAGGTACCTTCTTGACATAGAAAAAGTTAACTAGAGAACTAGCTCAGCAGGTAAAGGTACTTGCCAACCCTGACAACCTGCTTTGATCCTTGAAACTCATGTGGTAGAACCAGAGAACCATGACTTCTAAAAAAAAATTGTCCTCTGCCCTATACATGAGTGCTAACATGTGCATACACACACACACACACACACACACACACACACACACACACACACACACACAAGTGAATAGATGGGTAGATAGACGTGATAAAAAGGAAATGGGAAAAGATTGTTCTCACCTCTTTGTAAAG